TGCAGCTCCCTCCGAGGATCTCGCACGGGCCCCGTCCCCCACCGGCTCAAACATCCAGTCTTCCACGTCTCTCCGATAACTCCCAGTCTCCCCCGAACTCCCGGAGTCGGGAAACATTCCTTTGTCAAAGAGACTTTCTCGAAGCCCACTGCCTCGACGGGAGTACACCTCCCTGGTGCCTTGGGTGTTGTACAAAGCCCAGTCGTCCTGCGCCGGTGTCTTCCGCGCACCCCAATTCGAAGGGGTTGGAGGCGGCCAAGACAGGTAGGCAGGCAGTCGGGGAATCGCTCCCCCCACAGCACCTTCCCCTGGTGCGGTAGTCGTCACAATCAAAGGTGCGGAGGTAGTGGGGACCGATCCTGTGTCCCCCTCCGTGGTAGGTAGGTTTCCCTCAGACCCGCTCATGGTCTCGCCAGAATCGGGACGATAGGAGAAAAGGAGTTCTAACAATATGTTGGATCCCCAAGCATCGAGAATAAATCCACGTTTCAAAGAAAGTAAAGTTTATTTCAAAGCATTGGAAAGATACTCAAACACGTTCTTTGTTAGAACTGAACACAAGCAGTTAGGGCAGACATGATAAAGGGATTCAAGTTAGAAACACAACCAATGGATAACGTTCCCGCTGGCGGGCAGGAGAAAACGGTTGCCTGCTCAAGTCTTGGGAACCAGGCGAACAGTAGACAAAACACAGGTGCAGTTCACAGGCTTGGTGCAGTTCACAGGCTTGATAAGTAAGAAGCTAACAGTGAAGCATACTCTCCCCCTCACATCCTCCAGTTGTTTTACTTTGGCATTACAGCATAGAAAACACAGGGGCCAGCTGGCAGGGACAGGGATCATATATGTACAATCAGAAGTTACACAGAACACCATGGCAGCTTGCTGACACTCTTCCTCTTCCTCCTCTCCCAGCCTCTCCTCCTGTCCCTCAGGAGGCCTGCTGGAGCCTAGAGAAACCGGAGCAGGCCAGCCAGCTCCTCCTCCAGTGCCTCTATAACCCTCTTAGTCTGCAGCAAAAGGTTCCACGTGGACTTCTGCCACAGTACATTTGTTAAGTGCCACAAGACTGTGTTGTAGTAGTAGTAGAAGTCATAAAGTTGTTGTGGGTTTCCTCTTTGAAGCTCTGCCTGCTTCCTGCAGAAGGTCGTTGTTTTCCTTGATCGGGTTGGAGGCTTACAGTCAACTTTCTGATTGTTGAGATGGTGGTGGGGGGGTCTGCGTGGAACACCTTGTCAAGGGGATTCCGCTCCCTTTGATGCTAAAAGATGGGGCTAGCACTCAAATCTTTAGTGCTTCTCTCTCTTCTTTACAGGCTTTGTTTGCCTCTAACTATGCGAAGGTACAAGAAAAGACAAACATCCTGAATGAGGACTGGAAGAGGCTCCGAGTTCAGCCTGTTCAGTCGATGAAGCTGGTTCGGGGACATCCTTTCCTCAAACAGGTATTGTGAGTGGGCCGCCGTTGGCCTTTCTACGTGGCATCTTGCTGGGGACACAGGGATCCTTTGGGCCTACTTTTCCAGCCTTGCTGTTCACACCCCAAGAATACCGCACCGTGTGTACTTTTTTGCCGTTCCGTAGTGTATGGTCTTCTCACCGGAATTTGGAGGACTGGCCCGTATCAGACGCGCTAACTGTCTGTCCCACTGAGGGCCAGCTCATTTTATAAAGTCCTTGTGGCTGTCCATCAAACGCCCACCTGGAGTTTTCTGCTTGGAACTTAATTCCCAGGACCGTGCAGGACTGATTTGGATGGTTCACAGCATGTGGAGGGTGGGGGTGAGTCCCCACCTGAAGCAGCTTCAGGAAGCAGCTGTTTACCCTGATGCAAAAACGTACATGTGCTGATGGCTACATGTGTCTCCCCTCAGCTGGGCAAATAGTGGCTCCCTGGGTGTATTTAAGGTTAGGAAAACCTAGGGGGGGGGGTTCTCTCTCTCTCTCTCTCTCTCTCTCTCTCTCTCTCTCTCTCTCTCTCTCTCTCTCCATGCACTGTGGTCCCAATCATAACAGGCCGTTGTGCACCTGAGAAGTAATTTCCAAGTATGCGACTGTCTGGCCACGCAGGGGGACACAGAGACATTAAAATGTGTGAATCGTGCCTGAGAATTTTGGGGGTTTTTTCTTCTTAAAATGTCTATCCCCTATAGTTGCAGGGAAACATTTGGGAGTGGACTTGCTTGGAATAGCTCACCTCCTTTCCCAGCTGCCTGGTAAAAATGTGTCCAAGCAGCTGAGTAGGTGACGTGAGCAAGGCTCCCTCTAAGTCCTGTGAGCAAAAATTCTGCTTTGTGAGCTACTGGCATTAAAGTGGTGAGCGGGCGATTTGGCAACTGCATCAGTTAGTTTGCCCTGGAGCCCTCCTTCCTGAGCGAAGACAAAAACGTGTGAGCCAGAGGCTAAAAAAACTGTGAGCTGGCTCACACTAACTCAGCTTAGAGGGAACAGTGGACGTGAGTGAGATTTTCCCCAAGGGCCCAACCCGTTAAATCCAGTGATCATGGCTTTAGTAAAACTGTATTAACTCCCCTTTATCCCGTGGCCCAGGCGTTCAGGAGCCTGTCCTCAGAACCAGAATCTTGACACAAATGTGCCCAAGGCTGGGTGATTTGTGGATTTCTTCCCTAATTTGAGGGTTTCATTCCTGGGTCAAACAGAGGAACGTTTTCTCTCCGAGATCACTTTATGACCAGTCACTTCAGAAATGTAGGTTAAAGGCCCAAAGGAGTGAGAGGTTAGTAATGAAGGCAATTGACAGCCTGGTGATTCGGCTGCGCCTCCGTTACTGTAAAATGCCATCCTACTCCTGGAATGTAAGTTGGGGGGATCTGATTTCTGAAGCCCAACAGATAAGCCTGTGTTATTTTAAGAGCATGTTTATCCCTACCCCACACACCCGACTGCATGACAGCTAATATTCCTCCTTCCATCCTGAAATGGAATAGAAGTGGCTCTTGGCAGGAAGAGGCCTGTTTGGGGTGGGGGGACCTTTTCTTGGAGTGGGGGGACCTTTTTCCTACAGACCTTTTCTTATCAACCACAACTTTTCTCCCTGCTCTAGTGCACGATTGAGAGCCTCTTCCCCAGCTTCACCACACAGACCTTGTTCATGCGGACTCTCAACACTGTGGCCCTGGTGCCCATCATGTATTCCTGGTCCCCACTCCAACAGAATTTCATGGTAAGTCACCCCTGTGGCATGTGATGGCTTGTCCCAGTTGGCTGTTTGCCCACCCGTGGCTTTCTTTGAATCGGTGATGCTCTGTACTCTGGCTTTCGTGTCTGTTTGGGGGGTGTCTGCGCTCTAGTCACCTGCTGTTTTTGAGGGATGCGGTGGCTCAAGTGGTTAAGATGCGGTGACTCAAGGGGTGAAGACGCTGAACTGCAGGCTGCGGAAGGTCGGTCGTTCAGCAGTTCGAGACCCGAGTTGCCGCATGACGGAGTGGGCTCCCGTCTCTAGTTCCAGCTCCTGCCAACCTAGCAGTTCGAAAGCAAGAAATTGCAAGTAGATAAATAGGTGCTGCTTCGGTGGGAAGGTAATAGCATTCCGTGCGCCTCGGTGTTAGTCATGCTGGCCACATGACCACGGAAATGTCTTCGGACAGCGCTGGCTCTTCGGCTTTGAAATGGAGATGAGCACCGCAACCCTAGAGTCGGACTCGACTGGCTTTCGAGCAAGGGAACCTTTACCTTTACCTTTACTTTCGTCTACATTCCTTAAAGCTTATTGCGTATTTGTTGTCTGTGCTCCTGAATCCCCTGTTCTCCCATAGCCCCTGGCTTCTGGTTAAGCCGTGGCAGCTGGGCTGCGTTCAGGTGGATGGGGCTAACTCGTCATCTCCATCTCTGAAAACAACACCTCTCCGTTTTCTTAAATTAAAATTTATACAAGGTAAAATGCATTACAATACAGCAGAGTGCATAAAAAAAAAAAAGAATACGCCAAGTACTTAAGAAGGGGTGAATACTGTCTTCCTTAGCAATCCTAAACCTAACACAGGCACAACTATGGAAAATCACGATGAAATAAGCCACCAAAACCTTAATTGGAAAAGTGAACAGATACTTGCACATTGACGTGCGACGTTCAGCCATAGGTTGGGAACTTATATTTAAGATCTTTTATGTTTTCCCTTATGTTAACCACTTGAGCTGCGGTGGCTCAAGTGGTTAAGACGCTGAACTGCAGGCTGTGGAAGGTCGGTAGTTCAGCAGTTCGAGACCTGAGTGTGCCGCATGACAGAGTGAGCTCCCATCTCTAGTTCCAGCTACTGCCAACCTAGCAGTTTGAAAGCAAGAAATTGCAAGTAGATAAATAGGTACCACTTCAGTGGGAAGGTAACAGCGTTCCGTGCACCTTGGTGTTTAGTCATGCTGGCCACATGACCATGGAAATGTCTTCGGACAGCACTGGCTCTTCAGCTTTGAAACGGAGATGAGCACCGCAACCCTGGAGTCGGATTTGACTGGCTTTCAAGCAAGGGAACCTTTACCTTTACCTTTGTTTTCCCAATCAAATGTATCTAGATTCCTTTTCTCAGGTATTGGATACCATTTGTCAAGGGGATTCAGTAGGCGACTTGCAACGTCCTCCGAGTTTTCCCAGAGGGAGATTTTTTTCGTGCAGGAAAAAATCCCACACTTTGAACAACACCTCTCCATGGATGAATGTGTGCTTACAGGCGGCAAGCGTGACACGGGGTGGGTGGAGAATGAGCTCTCTTGGTTAACAGGTGTCAGAACCCACAGCTATCAACGAAGTACACGCATTCAGGAACGGTTATACTTTTATTGCAAAGCTATAGCTGCAGTAACACAGGCACTGTTAGGAATGGCCACAGCCTGTAGAGCATAATAGGATATAGGGTATTCGTATGCACCCCCCCCCCAGGCATTGGCCAATTAGGCACCCTCCCGCGCGCGGGACCAGCTAGGAAACCGTTAGGTGGCGAAAGCTGGGAACCGGTAGTCTCTCACGGTACACAGGAGACTTCCAGACAACACATCCTCCTCCTGCACATCTGTAGCGATAAGCATTGCAGCAGAGATTGGAATGCAAGAGCAATTACCAAGACACAGAATGAACTCCCCAACCCCCATGGCAGCATAGCTGACATACTGCCCTCTCTAAAATCGGCTCCTCCCGACCGTTCCGGGAGCTTCCGGTCGACCGGCGCTCCAGTCCTGCAGCCTAGGTGGTGATGGGCAAGGAGGCGCTTCTCAAGTGCCCTGTCCCCCTTGCCAGACCAAAGGTGCAGTCTTCTGGAGGGGGGGGGGATTCTTGGGCTGTTTCCCCGAGAGGCTTTTGTGGGTGTGGAGTTGGCACGACAGCTGGCAGTAATCCCGGCGGGCTGGTCAGCAGAGGACTAGGGGGCTGGCTGATAAGGACGGTTTCTGGACGATGCGCCTGGCTCTCTTCTCAGTCCAGCAGCAGTGGAGCGTTTGGCAGACCAGCTTCGGTCTTGCTTGCCCTTGAGGGGCAAATGGCAGCTGCCTCCGTCCTCCTGTGGAGGGCTTCACTTGGCTGGCCCAGGCCCCGAGGGGCCAGTGAGGAGATGTTCGCCTCTCTAGCTTTATCCCCCCCCCCCATTGCCAACAGAGTGGAGAACCTTTGGCAGCTTGTCGTCTCGTAGGCCTCTGTAGCCCCTCTAGAGATGGAAACGTCTCCTGTGGATGCTTTAAAAACTCCGCTCTAAGCGAAGGATGGCAGGCTTCTCCTGGCCAGCTACTCTAATCCAGTCTGAAAGTAGGCATTGGGGGCAAAGGACCACAGCTGGCTCCACCTTGCTCGCCGCGGGACCTAGAGAGTGTCCCTTCCATGTGGCCTGACAGCGATTGGACTCTGGTCGAGCAAAAATGTAGATGCTGAAAGAACTGAAGGCACCGGCTGGATTAAAATGCAGGAGAGAGAGGTTGCTGCAAGTGAGAGAGAGATCAAACCACGCAAATTTCTTTTTGTTTTAAAGTAGTTAATTCTTTAAAAGGTACTTGAGAGATGCTCTTTATAGCGATGTTGTTCCAAAAGTAATCCTCCTCTCCAGACCCGGAGACACAGTCCATGTAGTATGTGTAACAGTGTGCTGTGTGTCATAATAGAGGGCGGACTGTGTCCTTAAAATCCTTGATTGATATTTGACTGGTCAATTGGCTGGAATGTTCCGGAACTGTCAAAGGCCTCTCCCTGGGACTGGTGTCAGTAGTTGCGTGGTCGTGATGAAAGATCTGTGGCGGTGGTCACCCCCCCTCCCAATCCCCTGGGGAGTATTAAAACCTCCTTCCTCAGAGTCTGATGTTTTTACTTCATGTGTTTCAGCTGCCTTGTAAGAATCTTAACTCTCCTGATGTCTCTGCTTTTCTGGCAAATTGTTCACAGCTGTGCTCGTTCAAAGGAAAAGCCAAAAACACCATCCATGTAGTGCCTTTGTTAGTTAAGCTTTTGAGTTCCCGAGAGTTTTTCATCAAGGCAGGTATTTAAAAAATAAACTTTTGAATAATGTATTATTAAATGTTATGTGTCATGGGGTTGGTCCTACTAAAGGTATTACATGGATACCTTCTGGGCTTCTTGGATCTCTTCCCGACCCTAAAATATAAAATTTGACTGTAAGGATCTTTAACCAATATAGGATGACCCTAAAATCTAATGGACCAAGTAAATCTGTCCAAGATAGATTGCCTTAGGTTTCCAATCGATCTAGTAAAGTTCAGAGAAAGAAACAATTTTTCAAGTCATGTCAAATGTCTTTATAAATTTGCATCTTTCCTTTTACAAAGACCCCGGGCATCTTGGGCACTAGCCATCAAACAAGCACAAGTTACTATAAAAAGGTAAAGGTAAAGGTTCCCTTGCTCGAAAGCCAGTCGAGTCCGACTCTACGGTTGCGGTGCTCATCTCCGTTTCAAAGCCGTAGAGCCAGCGCTGTCCGAAGACATTTCAGTGGTCATGTGGCCGGCATGACTAAACACCAAGGCACACGGAACGCTGTTACCTTCCCACCGAAGTGGTCCCTGTTTATCTACTTGGAATGTCTTGCTTTCGAATTGCTCGGTTGGCAGGAGCTGGAACTAGAGACGGGAGCTCACTCCGTCATGCGGCACACTCGGGTCTCGAACTGCTGAACTACTGACCTTCCACAGCCTGCAGTTCAGCGTCTTAACCACTTGAGCCACCGCAGCTCCCTACAAGTTACTGTATCAAGTCCTTAACGACGTAAAGTGTACAGTAGTACTGTTAAAACTATGATTTGCATTTGCAGAGAGCTAGATTCTGAGTACTCCTCTTGAAAGTGTCTAACTCTTCTTTTCCTTGCCTCCCAAGTGTTGTGTTCTGGTGGGTCTCCTCTGGGGTAGAGTTTTCCCATTTACTCTTGAGCGCAAGGACCTGCTCCCTGAAGCCCGAGCGGGTCACACGTTCGGGTCAAGACGCTTGCTTTGTGGGACGAGGTCCGTGCCCCCTGCGCCTCAGAGCTCCCCTCATGGAATGGGCAAGGGGCAGAGGCTCCCACGGGCGGTGTGTGCTCTGTCCGACAGGTGGAGGACGAAACTGTCCTGTGCAACATCCCCTACATGGGGGACGAGGTGAAAGAGGAAGACGAGACCTTCATCGAGGAGCTCATCAACAACTATGATGGCAAAGTGCACGGAGAGGAAGGTAAGCGGGGACCCCCAGCCGGGGGGGGGGAAGACCCTGTGAATCCTTGGTGTCTTCTCTGAAAGGGGCCCCCACCCTCCCTCTGGGTGCTCCTCCGCTAGTCCGGGCGGGAGGCAAGTATCGTTCTGCCCTTGCCAGGAGGCAGGGCCAGCCTCCATGCCTGTGTGGCCCCCAACAGCCCGGCCTTTCCTGATAGGAGGCAGGTCCGGTGCCATGCTGTTTGGTGTAGAGCCAGTGTGGTGTCGTGGTTAAGTGTGCAGACTCTAATCTGGGAGAACCGGGTTTGATTCCCCACCCCACCACGTGCAGCTGCTGGTGTGACCTTGGGTCGGTCACAAGCTCTGGCACAACTGATCCTGAAAGAGCAGTTTGTGTCAAGAGCTCTCTCAGCCCCACCCACCTCACAGGGTGTCTGTTGTGGGGAGGGGAAGGGAGTTTGTAAGCCGCTCTGAGACTCCTTTGGGTAGTGAAGGGCCATGGGGTATAAATCCAATCTCATCTCATCATCATCATCACTTGGAGCCTCCCGCAGACCCCGGCATCCACCGGTTCTCTCTTCCAGAAATGCTGTCTACTTCAGTCCTCATCAGCGACGCTGTGTTTCTCGAGCTGGTTGACGCCCTGAATCAGTACTCCGAGGAGGAGGAGGAAGGGCACGACGCCGCCGAGGGCAAGCTGGAAGCCGGGAAGGAGGAGCTGCCCGTCACTCGGAAGAGAAAGCGGCTTTCCGTGGAAAGTGAGTCTCTTTATACGCCTTCCTCCTTTGCTCGCTCTGATGCCACCACATTTCCACAAGTCTTGTTGTTGTTCAGTTGCACAGTCGAGTCCGACTCTTCGCGACCCCATGGACCAGATCACGCCAGGCCCTCCTGTCTTCCGCCGTCCTCTGAAGTTGGCTCAACTTCATGTTCATTGCATCTATGATATTGTCTAACCATCTCATCCTTTGCCGTCCCCGTCTTCTTTGACCTTCAATCTTTCCCAGCATCAGGGTCTTCTCCAGTGAGTGCTCCCTTCTCATTTGGTGGCCAAAGTATTTGAGCTTCGTTTTCATTATCTGGCCTTCCAGGGAACAGTCAGGGTTGATTTCTTTTAGGATTGACTGATTTGATCTTCTTGCAGTCCAAGGGACTCTCAAGAGTCTTCTCCAGCACCATAGTTCAAAAGAATCTATTCTTCGGCGCTCGGCCTTCCTTATAGTCCAACTCTCGCAGCCATACATGACTACTGGGAACACCATTGCTTTGACCATGCGGACTTTTGTTGGCAGGGTGATGTCTCTACTTTTTATCATGCTGTTTAGGTCTGCCATCGCTTTCCTCCCAAGGAGCAGGCGTCTTTTAATTTCATGGCTGCTGTCACGATCTGCGGTGATCTGGGATCCCAGGAACGTGAAGTCTGTCACTACTTCCACAACTTCCCCTTCTATTTGCCAAAGAGTGATGGGGCCAGATGCCATGATCTCAGTTTTTTTGGTGTTGAGCTTCAAGCCCACTTTTGCGCTCTCCTCTTTTACTCTGAGCAAGAGGCTCTTTAGGTCCTCTTCACTTTCTGCCACAAGTCTTGCCACCAAGTAGAACAGCCAAGCGTGCCAAGATTGCTTCTCTACGCCCCCTTCTCTCCTCCTCCAGAAATGGTGGCCATTTTTGTAGTGTCTTGAGGGTGAAGCTGTTACAGATGATTTGGTCACACTCAGTCACTGTTGCAACCTGACTCCCAAGCACGTTCTCAATCTTTAGTAGTTTGCTTCTGATTATCCTCCAGGCCCCAATACAGCAATTCACAAAACCAAATAAGGACCCACGGTAAGTAGGAAAGCCAACATACAACAAGTACCGTGCACAGATGATTATAACATGCTTTTCACTTTGGAGGAGGCTTGTAGCTCATCAAAATTTTTTTTGCAGCGTTCATTGAAGAGAATTTTGGATTAAAACTTTGGTATGTGGCAACCTTGTGCTGAAAATTATTGTTGAACTCCCTGAGGAAGATTCGGAAACAGAAGGATATCTGGACCTCTGTTGGAGGAAGACACAAGCACATGTTATAAAGAGACTTTAAGGAGTCCTCCCTCTTGAAACTTTATTTAACTTAGGAGGACTATTATTAAAGGTTGTACAATAGCTTTTGAGATTCTTGGAGATGATTTTTGATGTTTTGGATTAAGATGATTTATTATATATGTACAAATTATTGTAAAAATATTTTTCAAAAATTATAAAATAATTTATGATATGTTATAATCATCTGTGCACGGTACTTGTTGTATGTTGGTTATCTTCCAGGCCCAGCTTATGTTGAAAGGCTATTCCTGGAAAGCAGAACGTGTGCCTTAATTTGGAAATGCTCACTCTTCCCTTCCTACCTGATACAGGCAGCAAGAAATGTCCCAAGAAGCACTTTCCAAATGACATGATCTTTACTGCTATTTCATCAATGTTCCCTGAAAATGGTTTTCCAGAGGATATGAAGGAGAGGTAAGGATTTTCCAGTAGGACCCAAGTACCTGTCAGGACCCACAGCAAAACAACGAAGTACACACTTCCAAGAAGGTTTTACTTTTATTGAAAAGCCATAGATGCAGTAACATGAACACTGTTAGGAATGGTGGGTGATCTATGCGCATAATAGGTTATAGGGCATTCGTATACCCCCCCCCCCATGTATTACCCAATTAGGTGGGTTCCCGTGCGCGGGCATTTGGCTGAGAACTAACGGCTGCAGAAGCCGGGTAGATGAGAAGCTTCCCACGACTTCCAGACACAGCAACTCCTCCAGTGGCCTTGAGAGATATGCGTTGCAGCGAAGAGGCAATTAAGCGCAAGGGAAGGAACGCACAGCAAAGAGAAACAGACACCGTACTATTGGCAGCTTAGTTGACAGTACCGTTGTTTTTTCTGGTTTGGGGACAACAGTTTATTAAGGTAAAAATCCCCAAGATCTGCACCTGGAATGCATTCCGAATCTGTATTAAAAAGCAGTATGTTCCAGCGGCCGTTTCCCCGGATAGGAGATCAGCCTGCAAGTTGCACTTTGATTACTGTGTGGAAGTGATAACCGGGGTGGGGGGTGGGGGGCTGGCTTGGGTGTCCTCCGGTGACACCGTGGGCCTCTTCTCTGCTGACTCCATGTGAAGTGAGGTCTGTGGGCTGATCTGTCTGGTCAGCAGGGGACCAGGGCTCACAGCAGGGGGTGGGGCTGCATTGCGTTGTGGCCCCTTCCTACTCTGATCCTACAGTTTCATGTCTTGCCACGTGGCTGGGAGAGCACAGATGTGTAGAATGTGCCCTGGGTCTTGACCGTGTCCCTGGGCTGTTCCTTATGGCCTGAGCAGTTCTGGAGCCAGCGTCTGGCTCTTGCCAGAAAAACCATAAAGTGGTAGGGTTTGGAGGGGGGGGCGCGCTATAAGTCAGGGCTTCTTGTGTTCTCCTGCAGGCCCCTCCCCCTGCCCGTCAGGTAGGGCAAGGCGCTGCCGGAATGTCTCTGTGTGGTGCTCTTCCCCTGCAGATACAGAGAACTGACGGAAGAGTCGGACCCGAATGTGCTCCCGCCACAGTGCACCCCGAACATCGATGGGCCGTGTGCCAAGTCCGTACAGCGTGAGCAGGCCCTGCACTCCTTCCACACTCTTTTTTGTAGGCGCTGCTTCAAGTACGACTGCTTCCTCCACCGTAAGTGCCGGGCACGGCTCCTGCCCCCCCCCCCCCCCCCCCCCCCCCGCCAGCATTTACGCTTATGAGTGAACGTCTTCAGCTAGTGACTGTTTCAAGGAGGTGGCAGCAGACATCAGGGTGACCTCCGTGGGTGAAAAATGTTCCCTACAGCTCTATGCAGTTCCTGGCATAATAATAATAATATACTTTATTGTCATTGTACATAGTACAACGAAATTAAAGATGCAATCATTTCGGTGATCTGCAACAATATTCATATACACTCACACACCCTTCACAACCGTCCCATAACTCCCTTATGGTTCACATAGCAACTTAAAACCACCAATGTCACCCAAATTCCAATTTCATACTGCATTTAAGGCAATAATAGCTCTCGAATAAAAACTATTTTTTAATCTATTTGTCCTTGCTTTAATTGTCCTGTATCTTCTGCCCGAAGGCAGTAGTTCAAACAGGGAATGTTTAGGATGTGACAAATCCTGAAAGATGTTCTTTGCTTTTTTCAAACATCGAGAACTATACAATTCCTCCAGGGATGGGACAGGGCAGCCAATGGTCTTCTGGGCTGTAATAACAACTCTCTGGAGTGCTTTCCTCTCCACAGCCATACAACTGGCAAACCAGGCACAGACACAATATGTTAAAATGCTCTCTATTGAGCAGCGATAGAAGGACATCAGTGTTTGCTCAGTGAAGGGCTGTCTCTTGGCAGGATCAAGCTCCTTCTTTGTAACATGTGCCCTCCAGTCCTTTGGACGTGGTTGTTGTCTGCCTTGTTTTTATCAGTTTCTCTCTCTCTAAAATTTGTTTGTGTAGCACAGGAATTGGCTTGCTAAGCCGAACAAACTCTGAGCACCCTCCACGTCTGTAAAAACATATGATGAAAGCCAGAATAAACTGGCAATAGAACAGCTGGATCAGAATTCCAGTTCCAGGCAGCAGTGTTAGTTAGGCTCACGTGGCGTGTGGTTAAGAGCAGAGGACTCTAACCTGGAGAGCCGGGTTTGATTCCCCACTCCTCCTCCTCCACCTGAAGCCTGCTGGGTGGGCTTGGGTCAGTCACCGTTCTCTCAGAAGTCTCTCGGCCCCACCTACCTCGCAAGGTGCCCGTTGTGAGGAGAGGAAGGGAAGGCGATTGGAAGCCGCTTTAAGATTCCTTTGGGCAGAGGAAATGGGGCATAAAAACCTGCTGTTCTTCTTGGTGACAAGCGGGGTCCTTGGGCAGCCAGGCTCTGCTTAGTGTATTAATTGGTGATGAAGTGGGATGATTCATCTGTTTCTCAGAGTGGAAATTACTCTGGCAATTTCCCAGCAATCCTTTGTGAGAGATTTGGTTCTGGTCTTCGTTTCCTCCTTGGGTGGGGCTAAATTTGAGTACGTTTTTTCAAAGTTTTAATAGTAGCGGGTGGGCAGGTGTGTCCACTTGATGTTTTAGAAAGTGTGTGTGTGTGGGGGGGGTCACACCTTGTTTCAGAGGCCTGCAGTCCTGTGCTGCTTTAGTCTGAGCAAAGTGGTTCCTGTCTTTCAGCGTTCCATGCGACGCCCAACGTGTACAAGCGGAAGAGCAGAGAGACCAAAATTGAGACAGAGCCTTGTGGTCCAGACTGCTTCTTATGGCTGGTATGTAGAGTCAGAGGTTGCGCAGAGGACAGGAAAGTATTGCTTATAAATGAATGTCTGGAAGTCCAAGAAGAGATGCTGTGAGAGTTGCATGGTCAGGATACCCCATGGGTCCTTTTCCCCCCTTTCTCAATCAGAGCAGCTACAAAGGGGGTAAATGGGCTCTGGGAGCCAGAGCTGGGGGACTGACATCTCCCCACTTCTCTGCTCTGCTCTTTGCCCTATCAGGTGCGGTACATCTGCTTGCCCTAAGAGGAAAGCACACGTGCTTAAAGGGAGATAAAAATTGGGAAATCCAAGAGAGAAGGGTTAAGCGCTGTCAGGTTCCCAGTCAAATCACTCTCTCCATGCACTTTCTTCAGTGAATGTTTTATTAAGAGAGATGAGATGCTGTGGGTTCAAATGTTTTGTTAGGGCTGAGGTGCAAAGTCGGGAAAGCAGAATATATGTAGAACCCCAAGATTCCATTCACATCCACGTCAGCACAGACTTTACTTCAAGGACATTTCTCGTGTGAAAGATGTCTTGAGGCCTCGTAGGAAAGTTACCAAAGCTAGCCTTCCTAAATCACTACAGACACTCTCCCCCACCCCCCAGGAATGCAATGGCAGGCGAGGGCAGCGATAAGGGTACAGAGAGCAAAATTTGGCAACGAACTGAGATCCGTGGTAAGATATGATCTTCCTTGGTAAAGTATGTAACCATATCACATGTAAAAACATGGCAGCAAGTTGTTTAGCGGTGGGTATTTGTTTACATGGGACAAAGTGGGCTTGTTTGGAAAATAAATCAACCACTACCTACCCATATAACGGACTTCCCTTGGCTCTCAGGTAGATCGGTTATAAAGTCCATTGATATCACTGCCCACGGACGTTGGGGCGTTTCCAGTGGCTGGAGTTGACCAGCCACCTTTCCTCCTCTCCGCTTACTCATTAAACCAGTTTGGCACGCAGCTACATATTTGGAAATGTCTTTTCTCATTCCTGGCCACCAAAACCGTCGTATCAAATGCAAAGTTTTTAAATGACCAAAATGTCCCAACATTTTATTATCATGGCCCTGGGTTAAAACCTCCCCCCTCAGCACCTCGGGCACATACGTTTTATCACCTTTGCACTGGCTTCCATTATCCCGCTGGTGCAGGCCCTCCCTTTCCACAGTCTCTAGATCGTGGGGGTTGAATGCTGATTTGAGGTTTTCCAGCCAGCCACTCGGCTCCTCTCCCCCCCCCCCCCCCCCTTGCCTGGCTGCGTGTCATTACTGCCCCTCCTAACTGGGCGGGGGGGGAAACAGTGTCTGTGACCTCATCATGCTGACTGGCGTGCTGTGGGAGGCGAGAGAGGGTGTCAGCTAGAAAGTTAGCCTTCCCTGGGAGGTACTTTATGGTGAACCGGAACTTGGAGAAAAATTCCACCCCCCGGAGTTGCTTTGTGTTCAGGCGGCGAGGTGTTCTCAAAGCCTCTAAATTTTCATGATCTCTCCATACTTCAAACAGCACCCTCGCCCCTTCTAGCCAATGCCGCCATGTAGTAAGTCCCAGCTTCACGACCGCAGCCTCTTTGTCCCAAACCGGCCAATTACGCTCAGCCCCCGAAAACGTTTTTGAAACGTAAGCAAGGGGGTGCAGTTTGCCATCCGCACCTCTTTGCAAAATCGCCCCTCCCATAGCTACATTGGAAGCGTCCACCTACGCAATAAAATCTTTATTTTCATCTGGATGATGGAGGATAGGCTCTGAGGTAAACAGTTTTTTCAAATCCTCAAACGATTGTTGGCACTCAGGAGTCCATTGCAATTTACTCCCCCCCCCCTTTTCGCCTCGGGGCCTTTCCCCTTCGTTTTAATAAATCTGTTAAAGGTAACGACACTTGGGCGAAGTTGGGGATGAATGCGCGGTAAAAACTGGCGAATCCTAGGAAACATTGTAATTGCCTTCGCGTTTTGGGACGTTCCCACCCTACTATGTCCTGCACCTTCTTGGTGTTCATCCCCAAGCCCCGCAGTAACCCTAAGAAATCTATTTGATGAAACTCGCACTTAGCTTCGCGTACAAGTGGTTGTCATAGAGAGCCGTTGGCACCTCGCGCACCAGTTTCATGTGTGAGTCCATGTCTTGCGTGTACACTAACACGTCATTGAGATACACAACGGCCCCCTTAAACAGGTGCTTGTGAAACAGTTCATTGATCAAGTTCATGAAAACTCCTGGGGCTCCTGCCAATCCAAAAGGCATGACTTAAGTACTCGAACTCCCCCAGCAGAGTGTTGAATGCAGTTTTATGCTCGTCCGCCTCCCGTATACGCACTCTGAAATAGGCATCTCGCAACTCCAACTTTGTAAAGATCTTTCCCTTAGCAGCTTTGGCTAAAAGGTCTTTTATCAAAGGCAGGGGGTATGCATTGGACACCGACACAGCATTTAAGCCTAGATAGTCTGTGCATAACCTCAGCCGTACTTTTTCTGAAACCGTACTGGAGCCGCGAAAGGGGAGATGGCCAGTCTAATAAAACCCCGCTCCAGGTTTTTGTCAGTGAAGCAGCGCAACTCCTCCCTTTTGGAAGGGCTCATTGTGTGAGCTGGAGGCTAAAAAACTGTGAGCTAGCTCACACTAACTCAGCTTGGAGGGAACACTGCTGACAGGTTCCCAGTCAAATCACTCTCTCCACGCACTTTCTTCAGTGAATGTTTTATTGAGAGAGATGAGATGCTGTGGGATCAAACGCTTTGTTAGGACCGAGGTGCGAAGGCGGGAGAGCAGGATATAGGTACAACCCCAAGATTCCATTCACGTCCAGGTCAGCATTGCTACAATGACTATAAAAGATATTATCTAGCCAGGCACAGACTTTACTTCAAGGACATTTCTCGTGTGAAAGATGTCTTGAGGCCCCGTAGGAAAGCTACCGAAGCTAGCCTCCCTAATTCACTACGGACACTCACACACACCCACCCCCAGGGGGCAGCAGTAAGGGGTACAGAGAGCAAGTCAACTGTATCAGGTTGAAATATAGCAGGTACAGCCAGTCAAATGCCCGAGTCTGACGAGTGCTCCTTTCCCTAGTGCTGCTCCCTGATCCAAAGGGGGGGCACTGCCCCCCAAAGCTGGTAAGGCCTAGTTGGGGGGGGGTCTGATTGCAGGTTTCCCGCTTCATGGAGGCTGCCCAGCGGGTGCTGCCCACAGAACACGGACACTTCCCCCGGGATGTGGGGGTGAGGATGAATTACAGGTGGGGAGGGGGCTCTGAAGCAGTGGTTGAAAGGGTTCAAAGGGGGCAACACTGGTCTGGAAGCTTTCTGCTCCCCTTCCTAACCCCACATTATCATTGCCAAGGATTCCGTGGGGTTCCTCCTCTCCTCATCAGTGTCACGTGGTGAACCTGCAAAACTCTAGAAACCTCAGGGAGAGCCGGCCAATTGCCTGTGTTTGCTGCTGTTCCCCTAAAAGAAACCAGCGGCCTGTCCAATCGAGGAGGAGCGGCTGCCGCCTGGCTTCTGTGGAGTTCTTCCCCACACAGATCTCTGGCAAAAAATGACCCCCCCAGCAGCTCAGGGCTCTGAGAAAGGAAGCACCACTTTTTAGCGCCCGCCCGGCTTCCTGGGAGCTCCGTGTGCGCGGGCAGCTCCCACTCCCTGCTTGCCACTGGGTTGCGTTCAGCAG